GCAGCGCTGACAAGTAGCAAAAGTAATTAAAATTTTGTACACAATACACAATTCACATTTCGTACACAGTTGTTGTACATAATTCTTAAGCTGTCTTTTTATTTGACTTTTATGTCGCTTTTTTGCTTTGTCTGCTGCTAACTTTTTCATTTCGTTTCTCTCGCTGCTTTTTTTGGGGGGTTTGTTATTTTGAATTGTGGCAATTTAAGCGTGAGAAATGCCAAATTACTCCGCAACTGTGTACTTTGACTTATAACTGTTGTAATGTTGGTACCATTGTCTACTGTTCACATTTTTGTTGTCATGTTTCAGAAGATCTTACTGCGATTAAATGGTGGCGCTGGCGTGAATGTGCCTGCCACTGGTGAAGCGTGTAAGAATGGGTGTAATGAGCGAGAAAATTGTTGCTGCCTGATTTTTTTTTATTTATAACATTTTATGTTGACAATTAATGTACGGACTTAATGTTGGTTAGGTTATTGGACTTGAAAGGTGAAACATTCAGCAATTTTGGAGAAAAAGTAAAAATGATTGTTTATTTTTTATAATGTGAATACATATTTTTACAAGTTCAACAGCAATGATTTTAAACATATATGTATATATGTATATATGTATGTACATATGTATGTACTAGAGATCTGTACGATTACATCTTTTAGTAAATAGTTCCTCAGCGATTCAGTTCTGCAGCTCTTAGTATCTTCTCCAACATTAGGTCAATCTGTCTGAGACCGCGTTCGATCGCAAACGGCTCGGAGAGGGTTTTCCCAACTTTTACGGAGCTGATGGTTTAGCAAATTTAGACAACGCAACTCCTTTTAGTGCTGCCGAAAACGGCTTTAACGTCGACAAATAGATGGTGAGTGTCGATCCTCGTTTTTTTCTAAAAGTTTTCATCCCACGAGAGGCAATGCCATACCAGCGAGCGTATTTCTGCCATTAAAAAAAGCTTCGCATTAAAACCATTTGACGTTCGGAGGCGGCTTAAAATTATAAGTCCGGCTCCTTTTCGTGACAACATCAAGGCACACAAACAAATCGGAGGAGAAGGTCGACCAAACGCTAGCAAATGTATAAGCGCCAAATGTTTTTTTTTTTTGAATTATTTTTAACTCGAGAAATCGAAAATCGAAAATTGTTCGTTCCAATTACTCCATGTCCTCCTAACCGCTGTGTACAATGTTTCCCCTTTTTAAGAACATTTCACAAACTCACCAAATTAATCTTTTATCGACAATTACAATTAATTATAACAGCTAAAATGTTATGTACACATAAAAGTGCGCGCCACATGCCACATGGCGAACAAAACGAGAAGAATTCCCATGTGTGCAATTGTATACAGTAGAGAAGAAAAACAAAAAAAAAAACAGTGAAAAAATTGAAAAAAGATGGTTTTATTCACTATTTTTTATTCATTTAGCAATTGCCCGCCCGGTAGGAAAATCAACCAGTAGATAACCGAGGAGGTTTTCAGCGAAATTCTAATAAAGCAACTCACTTGAAATTTGGATATAATCTGGAGAAATTAGTTCAAAAGAAAGATACATAAAAGGTGGTGTATGTGTGTACTTACATACATTCTTTGTACCTACTCGTATTAAATGTGCTTTGATCATAAGAAAGTGAACAAATGTGTTAAATGGTTTCGGCCACCCAGGCGGTCAAATCAGCATTTAGCTCCAAGGGAAACAAAACTAATTGATGAGCGACTTCAGAAAAGTAATAGTAAAATAACTTAATAATATGTGCTAAGCCGAACGTTGGCTGAACTTGCATGGAAATAACTAGAATTTATCCTACTAATAACTATTATAAATTTGAAAGTTTGCTGGTAAGTGAATATGAGGCTGAGCGAATTTCAATAAAATTTGGCACACGATTCCGTTTTAACCTGGATTAATATATAGGATATTTTTTGAGAGAGTTTAGACCTTTTCCCAAAAGTTAAATTAAATCTGTTCGGGATGGGGTGGAGTTTGGAAATTCAAGGCAATTTAATTAACAATGTAGGTTTTTAACGAAAATGGTTCACAAGCGATTTATTTAGAAATAATTTTTTAAGGGTGTTGCCATCTATTTAAAATTTAAAATCGATTTATTAAGAAGTTAATAAAAATATTGCAACAATATGGCCTATATTGCTGTTCAAAAGGTCAAAATCAGTTTAATTAGCAAGTTAAATGAAATATTTAAATATGGGTATCAAACGGAAGAGGTTTGAAAAATCTGTTTAAAAGGAGCAGCCACCTGTTTGAAAATTCAAAGGCAAGTTAATTAAAAATGTGGGTTTTAAACAAACGGGAGTTCCAAAATGATTAACTTCCAAATAATTTTTTAAGGGCGTTGCTCCCATTTAAAATGTAAAATAGATGAATGAAAAAGTTAATAAAATATCACAACAACGTGAGTGTCAAACTGAATCGGTTCAAGAACGATATATTCCTCAAGAAGTTTGCCACCTGTTTCTAAATTTTAAATCAATTTAATTAGCAAGTTAAATGAAATATTTCAATATGGGTATCAAACGGCAGAGGTTCAAAAAAGCTTTATTTCAAAAATATTTTTAAAGGTGCTGCCACCTGGTTAGAAATTCAAAGGCAATTTATTTAACAAGTTAAATAAAATATTTTAATAAGGGTATCAAACGAGAGAGCTGTATCTATTTCGAAAGTGGTTTTGATGAGAGTTTCCCCCAGCTTAAAGATTAAAACTTAAAATTAATTGACAAGTTAAATGAAATCCTACAAATGTGCAAGTTTGTGAGTGAGTGTGTGAGTATGTTTGTTGTTCTTTCTTCGCTTAAAATTTAGCACCAAGATAGCTTATGGCCTGAATTAATATAAAGCATATATTTTTTTATGGGTGTTGCCACCTATTTAAAAAATACATTATCACGAATTCCATGAGAACAAGTATTCCCAAAAATTATAAAGCAAAACAAAAACAATTTTTCGCAATTTGTTTTAGTTTTGCCTGTTAAACTACGGGAGCGATTTATGCACATGGATTATATTTGCAAGTTTGGTTGTACTTCATGGAGTTCGTTTGTTTCTCAACTAGCTAACTGTTGGGGAATCGAGCTCTTATAATATGAATGTCAAACGAAAGACATTTAATAAAGCTTCATTACGAAAAAAGTTTTGAAGAGGGTGTCACCTGTTTCAAAAATCAAATGCCATTTGAGTGAACACATGCAAAAGTGAAAATTTTCCCAATTTTCAAACTATTTGTTTTAGAGGCAAATGCTAGATTTTTTTTTTAATTGTTAGCAGGTGAAATTTCTTAAAATTATCTTTATAACAAAAATAAATATCAGCTTCAGCAAAAAAAGCATTTCGCAAGTCTTATGGGATTCCCTTTTTCATTTCAATATAGACAACATTGTATGTATTTGTTTATAAATAAACACACACGGTGGTACTCGCTTTTGTTTATTGAAATTTATAACTCAAATGCATATATTTTTGTGCATAGACGTGTGTTTTATACGTATGTACGTGTACATAAGTAATTTTCCATATATAGTGAGGCGCAGTTGATCCACTTACCTTATAGCGAAACTTCTTAATTTTATATTTTTTCTTTTTTCTTTTTCCTATATCTCATTAAGTGTGCTCTCATTTTTCCAATCATTTTAACAGATTTTTGCGATAGTTGTTTATCTAAAAAATGAAGTTTATATATGTGATGTGCAGACATCTTTATCCCTATCAAACAAACATACGTACATAAATATGTATGTACATGCAGTTGAGCAGCACTTGAGCACATCGAGGCAGTTCATTACTTATTCGAATAGGCAGTCAATATAATTGAGAACAGTCTCGAGATGATTGTGAAATCTTTCACACATTTTCGCAATAGTTTTTGCCTCGTGTTTAATGGCCATGAGCTGTATGTACATACATATATGTTTTTTTAGTACTCACATATGGTCGCATTGTATGCACATAGGTATTTCCTATTATA